GGACCTACAATCAATGTATAGTTAGGGTCATGGGGGGGGGACCTACAATGTATAGTTAGGGTCATGGGGGTTAAATTTGCTGGAACACTAAAACGACCTCAACTGAACAACCAAAATGTTTTTTTCCAAACAAATATTTTTTTGCCGGAGGGTTGCTGGCAATACATGCTCAATATATAGAGAAAAAATACCCTGACCCCCTCTTATGATATGTCGTTTTGTAGTTTACTGCCATGAAGTGCAGCAAAGATGGACAAAAGAAGTAACAAAGAGCTATATTCAAGGTTGCATGGGTCAAATTTATTAGAGTCGAAAATTCTAGGAGTCATATATTTGGCATTTAGCTCGCCGTTTGTGAAAGAAAAGAGATAAGATTTACATAAACGTAAGGTCACAGGGATCCGATTTGTTTTGACACTCGATTGACGGAACCAAAAGGCCTAGGATAAAGGTGTTTGGGGAGAAGCTTGTCGGCTTGGGTTGTTACCAGGTTAGAAAGGCCACACATCAGGTGAGCGTCTATGTTACTATGATCATATCCAGCCACTTACCAGTTTTCGAAAAACCTTAAGAATACACAAATAAATCTAATATTATATGACGCTCTCCTTTATGGTTAAAGTTGTGTAATTGAAGCATTTTTCTGGTTAAATTCGTATTTGTTTATACCAATGTATGATGTGCTTAAATTTTAATGTTGTAACTTCCATATAAGTATTCGCAGTAATCAAAAACCGGATATAGAGAAACCTGCCACATACTAAGTATTCCTATACCATGTCTGAAGAATATGTATTGATGTTGTCCCCTTCCTACGAAAACTACCCAACTTGACCGGTGTATCTCGACACCCTGTGTATACTGTGTAATTATGTATAGGGTATTCCCGTCGCCTAATCGTTTGAGCTTTTATCCCTCGTCAAAATGTTGACCTTAAACCCGAGAATACAAAGCAATACTCCTTCCGTTCAAGATACACGTGAGTGATGAAACAAATAATATTACTTAGATGATATGGCCATCTTGACAACTGTAATCTCTATTCTTTACCTGTAGAAAGTGTACCTTACAGTGTCACTCGACACACTGGTCATGCTGAACATGTGTGGTGTATCATTCCGAAAGGATCAGCCATTTAGAAGATATGGTGTTGACAAATATTACCATGAATTGTCATTTGACCTCACTGCCTGACCTTGACCTTTAGGGGACGGACCCTAACGTGTTTTAAGTCACACTATCTGGCCACGGTTAACAGTCAGTTAGAAGATATGGTCTGGACAACGTTTTACTAGACATACATAATTGGTATGGATAAATGCCTATCACGAAGTTCCTACAGTGAACGTAACTAAATATAAAACAACAGTCACTCTGCGTCCAAGCTTTCGGGCTAGACCTTCATCTGGGACGGAATGGTCCTCACACTTATGGTTACATCCATGTGTAAACTTCCTGTATTCAAATATGGATGTGACATAAGGCTGAGGACCATTCTTTTCGTAGAGTGAATGTTGCTATATAATTTGTTTGGGGTATAAAAGATTAATATACATAGGACTCATTAAGGTAATGTTTCCCTGAATTTTTTTTTCTTTGTATAAGAACTGGGGAACGGAACGACAAAAAATATGTATCCATTATTTTATCTAACCAGTATCAATATCACCGAAACATAAAGATATTTACATTATGTTTGCCATCTTCTCTCCTTGAAAATTTAGATAGAGAACCCCTACGCTCTGTGTTGTATCTCCAACAAAAAGAAGTACACATTTGTTGGCCATTTTTTTCTGAATTAAAGTTGCTTATTCGTTAATTTCAGGACAGATTTGTGTACGAAATAAACATAATCATACTTTCATTTCTAAAAAAACACTGGGAATCAGATTTCCACTGTACTACAGGTCAGTATATTATTACTCAAAATTAATCGAAATAATTTCGAACTCCTTTTTGTATATTACGTTAATTTTATAAATGCTACATGTACCTTTTGTTAAGACAATAGAAACTATTTTAACAGCTTTTACTACAGCCAATGTTCAGTTGTATATCATTCAGAGAGAGAGAGAGAGAGAGAGGGGGAGAGAGAAAGAGGGAGAGAGAATGAGGAGGAGAGAGTGATAGAAAAAGAGTCAATGTACTAGTCATTATAGCCCTTTGTAAATAAACAACAGCACTAAAGGACCAGTACTGCTTCATGGTTTCTTCTTCTTAATAAATAGTCACTCAAACTGCCAAAATAAATCGACTTATATCACATTGAAAACATCTAAGTCTACTGTCGTATGTGTTGAGTGTATATGATTTGTTTGATATGTTAGGGGAAATCCGTTACCTTTTTATTACTCCACATTGTCCATATTTTTAACACTGTTTAGCGTTATTCTAGACCACGGTAAAGTATGCAAATAATCATATGAATAAAAATATGCTGTTCCAGTAGTAAACTATTGGAGAGTAGGGTCCGGATTACACTACTAGTAAAACAACACAAGATATATCAGTTCATGGAGCGTTCTACAGGCGAGACTGGGGCTACTTGCTGTGTCCTCACAAAACGGGTAGTAGTTAGTACTGAGCAGGTACTGAACTTGATGCCGGCTCATCACTCTGGTCTGGCGTCCAGTCTGGATGGCACCTTTCACTCACCCTTGTTTCTATTCTGGATCTAATATGCTACGACTTTCCAAATTAATCGGTGCATGATGGTCTTGTTGATGTGGTCTAGTATGGCACTATTGTACATTTCTTTTTATCTGAAGAGAGTGCATCTACCAACATAAGTTCGTCTGTCCCCGATAGCGTGAACTATCGTCTGCAGATATGTGGACGATGTACCAGAGATCACTAGGAAAAGTAACAAGGATTTGTTGACGGAACACAGTAGAGTAAACCGAACACGGAACACAGTAGAGTAAACCGAACACGGAACACAGTAGAGTAAACCGAACACGGAACACAGTAGAGTAAGCCGAACACCAAATTTACCCAAGTCAAAGTGGACATATTTTTTTGGTTACGTATTAGTGAGGGAGAAAGTTGGGTCCATCACACTAAAAATATGGATTGGTAGCTGCAATGAGATCTCTGCCATCCCCTGAGCCTGCTGCTCGACTGATGTAATGATGTCATTACAGATGCAGAAGATGGAAAGACGAGGGATACAAAAAGTGTCCACCAAATTGGACTATAAGACAGGCTAAAGACAAGATCAAGACTGAGAAAAGCAACACAAAATTTATACAAAATTGAGTCCCCTTGGCCCAAGGATGCTCCAGACTAAACTAGAACTGTAAGCCAAAGGCTAACTAATACCCCCACCGCTGCTATATAAACCAGAACCAGACATCAAGGGGTAATTGCAATATCTGTAAACTTTAATTTAATCGGTCCAGTAGTTTATGAGGCAGACAAAGGTTTATTCAACAAAGGGCCATAACTCCTTTTAAAAGGCTTGGAATAAAAAAGTACTACTCGGATGCACAACTTCAGGGGGCAGTTACCTTTGGCCCAGTAGATTAGGAAAAGTTGTTAGGAAAATATTTTTTCAACAAAGGGCCATAACTCCATAAACAAGAGGCCCAATGGGCCTGCATCGCTCACCTGGTATAAATCTCACACTTGTAACCTTAAAAGTGATCTAAAATAAAGCTACAGGCAAAATAAAATATCAGTATTTATGATTAAAATTGGTTATGGTTATTCAGAAGAAGTTGTTTGAAGTTTTTAACATATTTGACCCCTATGACCTTGAATATGGGTGAAGGTCATTCATTTGAACAAACTTTGTAGCCCTTCATCCATGCATGCTACTGGCCAAATATCATCACCCTGGGCATTTTGGTTATTCAGAAGAAGTTGTTTAAAGTTTCTAACATATTTGACCCCTGTGACCTTGAATATGGGTGAAGGTCATTCATTTGAACAAACTTGGTAGCCCTTCACCCAAGCATGCTACTGGCCAAATATCATCTCCCTGGGCATTTTGGTTATTGAGAAGAAGATGTTTAAAGTTTTTGACATATTTGACCCTTGTGACCTTGAAAATAGGTGAAGGTCATTAATTTTAACAAACTTTGTAGCCCTTCATCCAAGTTTGCTTCCGGCCAAATATCGACACCCTAGGCCTTTCGGTTATTAAGAAGAAGTCGTTTAAAGTAAAATATTGACGCCGGACGCCGGACGCCGTACGCCGGACGGACGGACGACGGACGCCGCGCCACGGCATAAGCTCACTTGGCACTTCGTGCCAGGTGAGCTAAAAAGGGTTGGGAAAAAAATACCTGGATGCACAACATAAGGGGGGTAATTATCATATCTGAAAACTTTCGTTGAAATTGGCCACATAGTATTGGGGGAGTTGTCAGGTCAAGTATTTTTCAACAAAGGGATTACACCAAAAAAAAGGACAGATTGAAAAAATAAAACCTGGATGCACAACATCAGGTGGTAGTTATCATATGTGAAAACTTTCATTGAAATTGGCGCAGAAGTTTTGGAGAAGTTGTGCGGGAAAGCGTTTTACAACAAAGGTCAATAACTCCGTAAAAAATTCTTCTACGATACGCTGCGGTATGGCATAAGCTCACCATGCTCCTTCGGACCAGGTGAGCTAAAACTTGGCGACTGTTTGGCACGAGGCTTGTGGAAGACGAAAGATACCATTCTCCAGCACCAAGGAATTTCATTACATCAGAGATAGAGAAATACTTACAGAAAAGTCCATGAGTGGAAAAGAAGATCATGTCAACAAAATCAAGTATGTCATTGATCGGGAGAGCATAAAGATTAGTTCTGCAGGCACACCCACTTAGTAGTGTGTAAGACTGCAATGCTGAGTAGTGGACACACAGCAAGTATCCAGTTCTAACCTGTACAATTTGTCCAGTGACTAGGCGGGCAGTATGTTCGTGTAACTATATATATTCTATAAGTAATACGTAAATGTAACAACGATCCACTCTGATACTGCCAACTTCTGTTTTTTTTTATACAACAGTTAATCAAAAGCCAATGTAGAAACAGTCAGGTCGATTATTGACATTATGGCATGTCTTATTCTATACAACTAACCGTTCCCATTTTGTTACTGATAAGAAGCTAACGATAAGTCATTCATTCGTTTTCATTAATTTATTGTTGTTCTAGGAAATAATTGCATTCAAAAATTGTGTTAATTGTTGCCATTTCAGCAACATGTAGATTACATATACAGCACATTATGTTGTCAATATGTAGATTACTATTATACAGCACATTATGTTGTCAACATGTAGATTACATATACAGCATATAATGTTGTCAACATGTAGATTACATATACAGCACCTTATGTTGTCAATCCGTAGATTACATATACAGCACATTATGTTGTCAGCATGTAGGTTACATATACAGCACATTATGTTGTCAATATGTAGATTACATATACAGCACATTATGTTGCCAATATGTAGATTACATATACAGCACATTATGTTGCCAATATGTAGATTACATATACAGCACATTATGTTGTCAATATGTAGATTACTATTATGCAGCACATTATGTTGTCAACATGTAGATTACATATACAGCACCTTATGTTGTCAACATGTAGATTACATATACAGCATATAATGTTGTCAACATGTAGATTACATATACAGCATATAATGTTGTCAACATGTAGATTACATATACAGCACATTATGATGTCAACATGTCGGTTACATATACAGCACATTATGTTGACAATATGTAGATTACATATACAGCACATTATGTTGCCAATATGTAGATTACATATACAGCACATTATGTTGCCAATATGTAGATTACATATACAGCACATTATGTTGCCAATATGTAGATTACATATACAGCACATTATGTTGCCAATATGTAGATTACATATACAGCACATTATGTTGCCAATATGTAGATTACATATACAGCACATTATGTTGCCAATATGTAGATTACATATACAGCACATTATGTTGCCAATATGTAGATTACATATACAGCACATTATGTTGCCAATATGTAGATTACATATACAGCACATTATGTTGTCAGCATGTAGGTTACATATACAGCACATTATGGTGTCAATATGAAGGGTACATATACAGCACATTATGTTGTCAACATGAAGATTACATATACAGCACATTATGTTGTCAACATGAAGATTACATATACAGCACATTATGTTGTCAACATGAAGATTACATATACAGCACATTATGTTGTCAACATGAAGATTACATATACAGCACATTATGTTGTCAACATGTAGACTACATATACAGCACATTATGTTGTCAATATGTAGATTACATATACAGCACATTATGTTGTCAATATGTTTCAGCAATTCAGCTGTAAACATATATATATACACCAGCACCAACTAAATAAAGAATTCTGCTACATGTCAAAGTGTTTTAAAGTAACACTACATATCATTTAAACATGATGTTTGTGTACTGTAGGTTAGTGAACAACATAAATATTGCTATCTACTTGTATGTATGGAAGACAGAGATTTCTCACAAATACATGCAAGCACTTATTGCTGCAATGACAAAATATATACGTGATTCTGATTATTAATTTACAGAGCACTTTGATGCCATATTTGGTAAAAAGGCAAGCTTCACTCTTTCTAATTATGTTTACTTGTCAAAGTGGATGACCATCCAATGCCCTTCTTGTAGACTGTGTAGACTGTGATATGTATGTAGACGGTGTAGACTGTGGTATGTATGTTGACTGTGATATGTATGTAGACTGTGTAGACTGTGATATGTATGTAGACTGTGATATGTATGTAGACTGTGGTATGAATGTAGACTGTGGTATGTATGTAGACTGTGATATGTATGAAGACTGTGATATGTATGTAGACTGTGGTATGTATGTAGACTGTGTAGACTGTGGTATGTATGTAGACTGTGTAGACTGTGGTATGTATGTAGACTGTGTAGACTGTGATATGTATGTAGACTGTGATATGTATGTAGACTGTGATATGTATGTAGACTGTGGTATGTATGTAGACTGTGTAGACTGTGGTATGTATGTAGACTGTGTAGACTGTGGTATGTATGTAGACTGTGTAGACTGTGATATGTATGAAGACTGTGATATGTATGTAGATTGTGATATGTATGTAGATTGTGATATGTATGTAAACTGTGTAGACTGTGATATGTATGTAGACTGTGGTATGTATGTAGACTGTATAGACTGTGGTATGTATGTAGACTGTGTAGACTGTGGTATGTATGTAGACTGTGTAGACTGTGGTATGTATGTAGACTGTGTAGACTGTGATATGTATGTAGACTGTGATATGTATGTAGACTGTGGTATGTATGTAGACTGTGGTATGTATGTAGACTGTGATATGAATTAAGACTGTGATATGTATGTAGTCTGTGATATGTATGAAGACTGTGGTATGTATGTAGACTGTGTAGACTGTGATATGTATGTAGACTGTGTAGACTGTGATATGTATGTAGACTGTGTAGACTGTGGTATATGCATGTAGACTGTGCAGACTGTGATATGTATGTAGACTGTGTAGACTGTGATACGTATGAAGACTGTGATATGTATGAAGACTGTGATATGTATGTAGACTGTGATATGTATGTAGACTGTGTAGACTGTGATATGTATGAAGACTGTGATATGTATGTAGATTGTGATATGTATGTAGATTGTGATATGTATGTAGACTGTGATATGTATGAAGACTGTGATATGTATGTAGACTGTGATATGTATGTAGATTGTGATATGTATGTAGACTGTGATATGTATGAAGACTGTGATATGTATGTAGATTGTGATATGTATGTAGATTGTGATATGTATGTAGACTGTGATATGTATGAAGACTGTGATATGTATGTAGACTGTGATATGTATGTAGATTGTGATATGTATGTAGACTGTGATATGTATGAAGATTGTGATATGTATGTAGATTGTGATATGTATGTAGATTGTGATACGTATGTAAACTGTGTAGACTGTGATATGTATGTAAACTGTGTAGACTGTGATATGTATGTAAACTGTGGTATGTATGTAGACTGTGGTATGTATGTAGACTGTGATATGAATTAAGACTGTGATATGTATGTAGACTGTGATATGTATGTAGACTGTGGTATGTATGTAAACAGTGTAGATTGTGATATGTATGTAAACTGTGTAGACTGTGGTATGTATGTAGACTGTGGTATGTATGTAGACTGTGGTATGTATGTAGACTGTGATATGAATTAAGACTGTGATATGTATGTAGACTGTGATATGTATGTAGACTGTGGTATGTATGTAGACTGTGTAGATTGTGATATGTATGTAAACTGTGTAGACTGTGGTATGTATGTAGACTGTGGTATGTATGTAGACTGTGGTATGTATGTAGACTGTGATATGAATTAAGACTGTGATATGTATGTAGACTGTGATATGTATGTAGACTGTGATATGTATGTAGACTGTGATATGTATGTAGACTGTGTAGACTGCGGTATGTATGTAGACTGTGATATGTATGTAGACTGTGATATGTATGTAGACTGTGGTATGTATGTAGACTGTGTAGACTGTGATATGTATGTAGACTGTGTAGACTGTGATATGTATGTAGACTGTGTAGACTGTGATATGTATGTAGACTGTGTTATGTATGTAGATTGGGATGTGTATGTAGACTGTGTAGACTGTGATATGTATGTAGATTGTGATATGTTTATTTCAAACATAAAGGACATGTAGATAGGACAAGGTAAAACATCTTGGTAAAAGAATACACACATTACAATAAACTCTGGTGTCGACCTCAGAAAACTATCATAAACTACACAAACAAAAACATATAGCACACTAAACACATACAAAATTGTAAACCTTGGACGATGAACAATAACTAGTGATTGTGTCAATATGATAATAATCTCCTATGTATTAATTAGCTACTAGTATTTCTCACTAGTGATATACAACAGGTTTATCATCACTAGTGATATACAACAGGTTTATCAACTGACTTATTTTATTTTTGTTTCATTGCAAATGGAAATGTTTCTCTTGGTTTCAATATCACTTTGCATCCTATCAAATGAAAATCAAACCAACCCTTTATCAAAAGTCATTTGATCAAAGTTTGTTTGAAGTGGTTGACTTGTAAAACAAATTAAGGAAATGGAAATGTAACATTAATTTTGTAAAGAACACAAACGTTTATATATTGCACTAAAACAGATCGTCTATAGTAAATTGTTACAAGATGATTGTACATATTACATGTACACCGTTTCCATTGCCTCACTAGGTATTAAAAACCAGACCACTGGTTTACAAGTCTGGTTCGACCAAACAAGTTGAAGAGAAATTATCCCTCACCGAGTCAGTAGAGAGCCGATTGTATTTTTCCAGTTTGATATCAAAGTAGTGTATCCCAGCATGGTTTAAGGTAATACATAGAGTGACACAGAACATACAGGTGTCAGAGGGTGTAATACATAGAGTAACATAGAACATACAGGTGTCAGAGTGTGTAATACATAGAATAACATAGAACATACAGGTGTCGGAGTGTGTAATACATAGAGTAACATAGAACATACTGGTGTCAGAGGGTGTAATACATAGAGTAACATAGAACATACAGGTGCCAGAGGGTGTACTACATAGAGTAACATAGAACATACAGGTGTCAGAGGGTGTAATACATAGAGTAACATAGAACATCGGGTGTCAGAGGGTGTAATACATAGAATAACATAGAACATACAGGTGTCAGAGTGTGTAATACATAGAGTGACATAGAACATACAGGTGTCAAAGTGTGTAATACATAGAGTAATATAGAACATACAGGTGTCAGAGCGTGTAATACATAGAGTAACATGGACCATACAGGTGTCAGAGTGTGTAATACATAGAATAACATAGAACATACAGGTTTCAGAGTGTGTAATACATAGAGGAACATAGAACATACAGGAGTCAGATCTAGAGGGTGTAATACATAGAGTAACAGAGAACATACAGGTGTCAGAGTGTGCAATACATAGAGTAACATAGAACATCGGGTGTCAGAGGGTGGAATACATAGAATAACATAGAACATACAGGTTTCAGAGTGTGTAATACATAGAATAACATAGAACATACAGGTTTCAGAGTGTGTAATACATAGAATAACATAGAACATACAGGTTTCAGAGTGTGTAATACATAGAATAACATAGAACATACAGGTTTCAGAGTGTGTAATACATAGAGGAACATAGAACATACAGGAGTCAGATCTAGAGGGTGTAATTCATAGAGTAACATAGAACATACTGGTGTCAGAGGGTGTAATACATAGAGTAACATAGAACATACAGGTGTTAGATGGTGTAATACATAGAGTAACATAGAACGTACAGGTGTTAGAGGGTGTAATACATAGAGTAACATAGAACATAGAGTAGCAGAGAACATACAGGTGTGTAATAAATACAAAAACACATTTGTTTGTGGAGACTAGATCCTTCTCTGTAATAAATAAAGCAGACACAACTAGGTGAAAAGTAAATTCTTAACTTCCAGAGATTCAAGGTGGTATAAAGGTTCAGATCAACATTATATATATATATATATATATAAAAAAGAAAACCAGAAGACAAGAGTTTCTTTGACTTCCCTAGCGCTTTCTCCTCTTTAGAGGTTCATCAGGGGAACTGTTAGTTATTCATGTTGACAGGACCTGAAGAGGAGAAATCGCTAGGGAAGTCGAAGAAACTCTGTCTTTCGTTTTTTATATTGAACCATCACAAGGACTTGGAATGTTTATCTGATTATATATAATACTATTTATAGCATTTGAAATTCAGATTTAGTTCAATGTAGGGTTTTTTCATTGAATTTTTAATCTATTGCATGAATACAATGGAAATTTCTTTAAATCCAAAAACAAAATACAGAAACAGTTTACCTACAATGTTAACTACTACTCATGATAAATAAAAAAATGTATAATTACACTGAACAACAGCCAGATCATGATACACAGCAATAATGGAATGACGACAGTGTCAGACACCCATCAAATATTAATGATGCATTCAAAATCCCTCATTTGCAACACTCTCCCTTCCTCTTTCAATTCACAAATTTGAAGTGGTTTTGGTCAATATATGTTTACAAATAAAAATTGAGCTAATTGACAAATGAACACATTACATATACACTATACATGTTAAAATGTAGCACCCTTTTCTGTCAATTAACTCATATTTAACATAATTACTTGCATTTTACAAGTTTTTTAGGTTTACATTTCCATATATATATATTTTGTGAAAAAAATGTTCTCCGCTTTCATCCTGTTCATTAATCATTACAAGGACTACTTTAACCTTTTTTACTTCTACATATATAATCTACAATGGCACAATAAAGGCACTTTTTGGATGCATGAACACAAATAAAGCTTACAAGTACACAGGTAGCAGAGTACAGTAGAAATGGCTTGATCCTAAAAGAAACGGCATGTCTCAGATAAACATGGATAGCGGATTCATCCTGCACAACACACCTACATACATATATATATATATATATATAGTAGATAATAAATAAATAAGTCCTTGCGAAGGAAAATATAGAATAAAAACACATTTTTCAGATCGTCCGCTAGGCCTTTCTGCCTTCTAGGGCTTCTTCAGGCGGATTGATGTTTATTTATCACCGTTGGTTACATGACGTCATCAATATTTGTATAGTCAACAATTTTAGTGACGTCATAAATAAACAAGCATAGTGACGTCACAATCAATACCAAGACGGAGAAAATATCTAAATACAATACATTGCAAAAATCATTGTGTATTCAGGCTGGGTTTGAGGACCTTTATAAACATATTTTCTTTAATTTCTCTTGCAACTACATCGTCACTATTCAGTTTGTAAATAGGTAACACATGAAAATCATCTTTAGAACATCGATGCATATGTTTGCTAACTTTTAAAAATCTTAGTTCATTGTCCTTCATTTGTTGTCTATGTACATTCATTCGTATTCTCAATTCACATCCGGTCTGTCCGATATAAAATTCACCACATTGTTTACATATTAAAGAGTAAATAACATTCTTAGAATTACAGTTAATGTCTGATCTAATTTCTATTTTGGAACCATTTGCAAAAACGTAGTCTTTACATTCAATGATAATCTTACATGTACCACACCTTGGTTTCTTACATTTTTTTNTGTAAACAATGTGGTGAATTTTATATCGGACAGACCGGATGTGAATTGAGAATACGAATGAATGTACATAGACAACAAATGAAGGACAATGAACTAAGATTTTTAAAAGTTAGCAAACATATGCATCGATGTTCTAAAGATGATTTTCATGTGTTACCTATTTACAAACTGAATAGCGACGATGTAGTTGCAAGAGAAATTAAAGAAAATATGTTTATAAAGGTCCTCAAACCCAGCCTGAATGCACAATGATTTTTGCAATGTATTGTATGTAGATGTTTTCTCTGTCTTGGTATTGTTTGTGACGTCACTATGCTTGTTTATTTATGACGTCACTAAAATTGTTGACTATACAAATATTGATGACGTCATGTAACCAACGGTGATAAATAAACATCAATCCGCCTGAAGAAGCCCTAGAAGGCAGAAAGGCCTAGCGGACGATCTGAAAAATTTGTTTTTATTCTATATATATATATATATATATAAACTACATTTTGAATACATTTTTTTAAGAAGAATGATTTTTTTTTCAAAAAGTGGTTTGCCCAGATTTAGGACTTGTGAAACCACATAAAAAAATGCCCAAAAATGCAATCATGATTTTTAACCCAAAATTTGACCCTTGCAAGTACTATTTTTTATTTTAACCTGTCTTAAATTGAATATCATCTACTTGGTAACAGAAATACTCATGTTTTAGCATAGGTCGTTCAACTGGATTTTTCACAATATTTACACATGTGCTGAGTACAAAAATAGACTACATGAAAAGCTAGCTTTTGTTGTGTAGACATAGATTTGCAAATGGCCAAAAATGTAGTCTCTAACCAAATTCGATTTATTTTTTCAAATGTGAAGCCCTACATAGTCCACTTCATCATGGATATGCCAATTTTAGTGCTGTTTTTTTTTTAAATTTGATACATGTAATATTACATAGGTTATTCATTGCATAAAAATATCACCCATGGCCACCGTACGCTACTGTACACTGCTACTGTACACTGCTACCATACTAGTTGTTAGCCCGGTTCATTCTCAGAGTTATTGCTCTCTTTCTCTGACTTGTATATATCCCGTTCAGGATCATAGCTCTGTATGCCTCTTATTGATAGCCTTTTCTACTGTGTCTTTTAAATGGACATGGTATTTACGCACCTGTAACACAGAAAAAGTATTTTAAATGTCATTTTAAACAGAATACATGCACTTTAATTTACCTGATAAAAACCCTTCATGGAATTGGGGAAAAAACTGGGGTTTTCTTTTAAGAAAAAAGGCTTTCTCTAGCAGCCTGCTTTTATAAATCTGCTTTAAAAAATGTGTGAAAAACACTCTTCCACAAAACCACCGTTAAGGTAACCGAAAAATGTGTGGCCTTTTTCACAAATGACTTTCTACAAAATAGTCAATACCATTATATTAGCAGAACAACAGATATAGGGTATTTACGGTTTTCTCCATATTCTGTGCCCGTTGTTTAATCTCAGCGTGTTTCTCAGGGAATTCCCCCTGTTTAACGTCATCCTTGAGTAGATCCTCTGTGTATGACAGCTGGTCCTGGTAATAATCATGCTTGGAGATCCGACGCTGGAAGTGCTGCAATTCCATCTGTTAGGGAACAAATAGACAGGGAATAACTATTTTAACAAGAGGCCCAGAGAGCCTGTAACACTCACCTGTTTTTTTTGTTACATGATACTGACATATAGGTTACTTAAGACCAAGTTTGGTAACTAGAACACAAGACATTTTAACATCTCTTAAATGGTTCTGAAGATATTTTTGTTTGAAATTTGAAATTTGAATTTTAAAGCTTTTAACCAACATTGACCTTTGACTCCCGACTTGCACTTAAAGTTGACCTTGGACCTCATTACTGTAATTAAGAAAACAATTCACACAGCTGGTCTACATAACATATCCAAGTATCATGACCCTAGTCCTAATGGTTCTAAGAATAATGTTGTTTGAAGTGTTTAACATATTTGACCCCTGTGATCTTGAAAATAGGTCAAGGTCATTTTAATGAGGAAACTTTATAGCAATTCATTGCAGGTACCTACTGACCAAATATCATGACCCTGGGCCTTATGGAACTTGAGAAGAAGATTGTTAAAGCCTTTTACCAATGATGACCTTTGACCTCCGACTTGCACTTAAAGTTGACCTTTGACCTTATTACTGTAATCGAGAATAAGATTTGCAGTGCTGGTCTACATAACATACCCAAGCATTATGACTCTAGTCCAAATGGTTCTTAGGATATTGTTGTTTGAAATGTTTAACAAATTTGACCCCTGTGAACTTGAAATTAGGTCAAGGTCATTTTAATGAGGAAACTTTATAGCACTCCATTCCAGGTACTCACTGGACAACTAGCATGACCCTGGGCTTTACGGAACTTTAGCAGAAGATTGTTAAAGATTTTAACCAAAGTTGACATTTGACCCCTGACTAGCACTTAAAGTTGACCTTTGACCTGAGGTAGCATTGTACAGTAGAAATGGCCCGACTCTGATAAACAAGGCACATGTCGAGGAAATGTAAACACAGTGGATTTACCCTACACAACACATGTATACATGTATATATATTTGTAAACTACATTACATTTACAATACATATAAAGTACTGAGAAGTGTATAAACCTCTTTTTTCTATGTATGTCACTTGTGTGAAAACCATGGTTACCACATCAAAAATTACCAAAAAAATGCCAAAAATTGCTATTTTTGACCCAAAATTTGACCCCCCCAACTAGTAATTTTTTTCCTAAGTTCTGTCTGAAATTAAAGATTACCTTCCTGGTTGCAGAATTATCTGGATCCCAGTAAAGTTGTAAAACTTTTTTTTTTACAATTTTGCGTCGTGTGCTGTTGTCAAAATTTTACTTCGTGCATGGTGAGCTAAATATACTGTAATGATAACCAATGGAAACTAGAACACTGAAAGGTCAGTAAGGGCCCCGTCTTGTGGCAGTATATCCCCCATAATCATCAAGAAGCAATCTGCCCATATAGCTGAGCTTGACGTTTGACATTTGGACTTCAAAAAGAATTGCAAGGAAGCAAAATATACATTTTACATGTACTATGATGTGAGTTTTGTTTCCTTCCACCTCCATATTTGCTGGGCTAACAGAAATGTAAATACCGGTACAATACGCATTTGTTAGCTTTGATTTGTTTTATTTCACCTTATATACCTCCTCCATCAAGAGCCAGGGTCAAAGTCAGAGATCCACTTTGTCTTTGACCTTTGGACCCAAATGACCTTGAACATTAACCCAGTGACCCTGATATTTGGTCAGTTGACTTATTCTTTAATTCCGACCAACTTTGCTTCTTACTATCATTACAAAATGTTTAACAGTGAAAAATACAAATATTGACCTAGACCCTTTGGACCCCGTAACCTGGACCTAAGGTCAGTTGACTCTGTGTTAAGTTCTGAACAACATTGCTTCATCATGTCATAACAAAATGTTCATCAGGGAAAAGGTACAAAATGTAACCTTCACCTTTGACCCAGTGACCTTGACCTTTGGTCAATTGACTCCTTGTTTAATTCTGAGCAACATTGCTTCAAAGTGTCATAGCGAAATGTTAACCAGTGAAAAGCTACAAAATTTGACCTTGACCCCTGACCCGATGACATTGACCTTTGGTCAGTTGAATTGTTGTTCAATTCTGATCAATTTTGCTTCATTACATCATAACAAAATGTTTATCAGTGAAAATATGTAAAATTTGACATTGACCTTTGAACCTGATGACCTTGACCTTTGACCTTGACTTTTTATCTTAATGTGTATTTTTGTGAACTGAACATCTTGACCAAGTTTCATGTCCATCGGTCAATAAAAACCAAAGTTATCAGCCAAGAACAAAATTTGTGGAAGGACGCAGGCAGACAGACAGACAGACAGACAGACAGACAGACAGAGTGATTACTATAGGGCACCCGTATCTCTAGTTCTGGGCCCTCATAACACAATATTTACATATAGAAGTTTGTTGAAATTAAAATCTTTCCAGAAATTAAATTTGATAGTACCTTTGTTAATAAGTAAATTTTCAAAAATTCATTGTATATATTTTGACCAAAAATATAAGCTAGTCCTACAATTGTAGCTACCAAATTCGAAATTTGTCAGTTATATATTACTACTCTCCATGTGATGTGAGGAAATATATTTCAACTGTTATATAACACCAAGTATAGAATGTACAGCAATATCCTGGGTACAATTTGACAGAATGGGAGTACCATTTGCAACACCATATACATCCCTTATAAAATGACCAGGGTATAAAACAGACACAAAAATAACTTGAAATTGTCAATCTTAACAACTAAGCTCATCACAATTTTATAAAACAATTATTTACACGTACCTTAAATTCTGCTAACTCTTCGTGGGACATGTTTGCCTTCTTCGCTAGTGCCCATAACTCGTAAACCCTATGGTCAGTAAACTCTAGTTCTTCATCACCTGGCTTGTCCAAATTCTCATGAAGGTCACGGTATTGGTCATTCAAATCCTTGTTTCTCCTCTTTAACTCCATCTGCCTTTCTGTCTTAGACATCTTATCAAAAGTCTTGTCTTGATAAGGGTCCAGACTATTGTCCATTAAATCTATAAACAAGGATATTGAGTTTGGTTTCAATTCTACATGATTTATTGATCAATTCCATCACAAAGAGGCCCGGGGAGCCTGTGTTGCTCACCTGGATATTTAATCATATCATGCCCAAATATTCTCATTAAAAGCTATATTGTAAATAGTTCCCCGTTTGGATATCATCTCTCGACCAAAAGAAAATTAATGACACATTGGTCCTTCAAACCAGGTGAGCTGTATAATGACACATTGGTCCTTCAAACCAAGCGAGCTATATAATGACAGATTTGTCCTTCAAACCAGGCGAGCTGTATAATGACACATTGGTCCTTCAAAACAGGCGAGCTGTATAATGACACATTGGTCCTTCAAACCAGGCGAGCTTTATAATGACACATTGGTCCTTCAAACCAGGCGAGCTATATAATGACCCATTTGTCCTTCAAACCAGGCGAGCTGTATAATGACACACTGGTCCTTCAAACCAGGCGAGCTGTATAATGACACACTGGTCCTAGGTGAGCTGTATAATGACACACTGGTCCTTCAAACCAAGCGAGCTATATAATGACAGATTTGTCCTTCAAACCAGGCGAGCTGTATAATGACACTCTGGTCCTAGGTGAGCTGTATAATGACACACTGGTCCTTCAAACCAGGTGATCTATATAATGACACATTGGTCCTTCAAACCAGGCGAGCTGTATAATGACCCATTGGTCCTTCAAACCAGGCGAGCTATATAATGACACATTGGTCCTTCAAACCAGGTGATCTGTATAATGACACATTGGTTCTTCAAACCAGGTGAGCTGTATAATGACACACTGGTCCTTCAAACCAAGCGAGCTATATAATGACACATTTGTCCTTCAAACCAGGCGAGCTGTATAATGACACATTGGTCCTTCAAACCAGGCGAGCTGTATCATGACACATTGGTCCTTCAAACCAGGCGAGCTGTATAATGACACATTGGTCCTTCAAACCAGGCGAGCTGTATAATGACACATTGGTCCTTCAAACCAGGCGAGCTGTATAATGACACATTGGTCCTTCAAACCAGGCGAGCTGTATAATGACACATTGGTCCTTCAAACCAGGCGAGCTGTATAATGACACATTGGTCCTTCAAACCAGGCGAGCTGTATAATGACACATTGGTCCTTCAAACCAGGCGAGCTGTATAATGACACATTGGTCCTTCAAACCAGGCGAGCTGTATAATGACACACTGGTCCTTCAAACCAGGCGAGCTGTATAATGACACACTGGTCCTTCAAACCAGGCGAGCTGTATAATGACACACTGGTCCTTCAAACCAGGCGAGCTGTATAATGACACACTGGTCCTTCAAACCAGGCGAGCTGTATAATGACACACTGGTCCTTCAAACCAGGCGAGCTGTATAATGACACACTGGTCCTTCAAACCAGGCGAGCTGTATAATGACACACTGGTCCTTCAAACCAGGCGAGCTGTATAATGACACACTGGTCCTTCAAACCAGGCGAGCTGTATAATGACACACTGGTCCTTCAAACCAGGCGAGCTGTATAATGACACACTGGTCCTTCAAACCAGGCGAGCTGTATAATGACACACTGGTCCTTCAAACCAGGCGAGCTGTATAATGACACACTGGTCCTTCAAACCAGGCGAGCTGTATAATGACACACTGGTCCTTCAAACCAGGCGAGCTGTATAATGACACACTGGTCCTTCAAACCAGGCGAGCTGTATAATGACACACTGGTCCTTCAAACCAGGCGAGCTATATAATGACACATTGGTCCTTCAAACCAGGCGAGCTGTATAATGACACACTGGTCCTTCAAACCAGGCGAGCTGTATAATGACACACTGGTCCTTCAAACCAGGCGAGCTATATAATGACACATTGGTCCTTCAAACCAGGCGAGCTGTATAATGACACACTGGTCCTTCAAACCAGGCGAGCTGTATAATGACACACTGGTCCTTCAAACCAGGCGAGCTGTATAATGACACACTGGTCCTTCAAACCAGGCGAGCTGTATAATGACACACTGGTCCTTCAAACCAGGCGAGCTGTATAATGACACACTGGTCCTTCAAACCAGGCGAGCTGTATAATGACACACTGGTCCTTCAAACCAGGCGAGCTATATAATGACACATTGGTCCTTCAAACCAGGCGAGCTGTATAATGACACACTGGTCCTTCAAACCAGGCGAGCTGTATAATGACACACTGGTCCTTCAAACCAGGCGAGCTGTATAATGACACACTGGTCCTTCAAACCAGGCGAGCTGTATAATGACACACTGGTCCTTCAAACCAGGCGAGCTGTATAATGACACACTGGTCCTTCAAACCAGGCGAGCTGTATAATGACACACTGGTCCTTCAAACCAGGCGAGCTGTATAATGACACACTGGTCCTTCAAACCAGGCGAGCTGTATAATGACACACTGGTCCTTCAAACCAGGCGAGCTGTATAATGACACACTGGTCCTTCAAACCAGGCGAGCTGTATAATGACACACTGGTCCTTCAAACCAGGCGAGCTGTATAATGACACACTGGTCCTTCAAACCAGGCGAGCTGTATAATGACACACTGGTCCTTCAAACCAGGCGAGCTGTATAATGACACACTGGTCCTTCAAACCAGGCGAGCTGTATAATGACACACTGGTCCTTCAAACCAGGCGAGCTATATAATGAAACATTGGTCCTTCACACCAGGCGAGCTATATAATGACACATTGGTCCTTCAAACCAGGGGAGCTGTATAATGACACACTGGGCCTTCAAACCAGGCGAGCTGTAAAATGACACACTGGTCCTTCAAAACAGGCGAGCTGTATAATGACACAGTGGTCCTTCAAACCAGGCGAGCGATATTATGACACACTGGTCCTTCAAACAAGGCGAGCTATATAATGAAACATTGGTCTTTCAAACCAGGCGAGCTGTATTATGACACACTGGTCCTTCAAAACAGGCGAGCTGTATAATGACAAATTGGTCCTTCAAACCAGGTGAGCTGTATAATGACACATTGGTCTTTCAAACCAGGCGAGCTGTATCATGACACCTATTTCAGGTAACACAATTTTCTGGAATATTTGTAATGGAAGTAAGTATGGACTGATCTCTAAACCAAAAACAATCTTTGATTGACAAAGACAATATGCAGCATGATGAATTAATACATTATTAGCTTTCTCACTGTTTTGGTATTTATCTCACCATCAAATTTAAAGCCTTCCTCCTTTAGACTGTTGTACTCATCCAGTTTATTTTGCTGATGCCAAAACTCCTCTTTGAGTTGTTTTAATTCCTCATCTACAAGAAAACAGCAGGTAAATAAGAATATATCAATAACAAGAGGCCCAATGGGCCTGCATCGCTCACCTGGTATAAATCTCCCACTTATAACCTTAAAAGTGATCTAAAATAAAGCTACAGGCAAAATATCAGTATTTATGATTAAAATTCATTCAAAAGAGCCTGTTATTTTTTTTTTAAACATTTCACCCCGGTGATTGAAAGTCGAACAAAGTCATTATGTTGAACAAATTTTATAGCCTTTCATCTCAGGATACAACTTGCAAAGTATCAACATCCTGGGACCCATGGTTATTCAGAAGAGGTCGTTTTAAGATTTTAAACAAATTTGACCCCGGTGACCTTGAATATAAGTCAAAGTCATTCACTTTAACAAACAGTAATTCTTGATCCCAGCATGCTACTGACTAAATATCAACATCCTGAGCCTTTTGGTTATTCTGAACAAGTTCTTTAAATATTTTGAACATATTTGCTCCTTGCGACCTTGAATATGATTCGAGGTCATACATTTAAACAAACTTTATAGCCTTTCATCTCAGCATGCTACTGGCAAAATATCATCACCCTGGGCATTTTGGTTATTCAGAAGAAGTTGTTTAAAAAAAAATTAAGACAATTGACCCCTGTGACCTTTAATACAATTGACGGTCATTCATTTGAACAAACTTGTTAGCCCTTCCCCAAGCATGCTTCTGGCCAAAAATCATCTCCCTGGGCAGTTTGGTTATCGAGAAGAAGATGTTTAAAGTTTTTAACATATTTGACCCCTGTGACCTTGAAAATGGGTTAGGGTCATTAATTTTAACAAACTTTGTAGCCCTTCATCTCAGTTTGCTTCTGGCCAAATATCATTACCCTAGGCCTTACGGTTATTAAAAAGAAGTCGTTTAAAGTAAAATATTGACGATGGACGATGGACGACGGACGTCGCACCTCGGCATAAGCTCACTTGGCACTTCGTACCAGGTGAGCTAAAAATGAGATAATAACTCATAACTCATAAATGGTTAATTATCACAATTTATCACTGGATATATGATGTTCTTATTGGACTGTGGTTCTGTTACATCATTATCTTGTGAATAGTTGTTACATTATTGTGGCAGATTTTAATTGTACATAGGATTTAGGTCGACTTCTAGCTTCATGCTAGAGACACCCTGACAGGAAGTGGAATGATCTTAAGACTTATACACCCAGCCCCCTGACAGGAAGTGGAAGGATCTTAGACACACAATGACCAGAAGTCATTGTGTCAAAGGCACACCATGACAGGACGTGGAAGGATCATATGCACACCCTGACAGAAAGCGGAATGATCTTAAACACCCCCTGATAGGAAGTGCAATGTTATTAGGATCTTAGACACGCCCTGACAGGAAGTGGAATGATATTAGACACACCCTGACAGGAAGTGTAATGATATTAGACACACCCTGACAAGAAGTGGAATGATATTAGACACGCCCTGACAGGGAGTGGAATGATATTAGACACGCCCTGACAGGGAGTGGAATGATATTAGACACACCCTGACAGGAAGTGGAATGATCATAGACACACCCTGACAGGAAGTGGAATGATCATAGACACACCTTAACAGGAAGCAGAATGAACATAACCTGGTATCAAATAACATCTGACAGATCAGCAATGTAAAATCTTTTTTCGCCTCACCTGTAAATCCACTCAATTCAGCTTTCTTCCACATTTTTTGGAGTTTCTTATCGTGGAATTCTTGTGGAATTTCATTAGAGAACGTTGGACTAGGAGGGACAGATATAACATCTTGGAGCCCATATCTGTTTATAATTTCTGAAATACAAAAAAAATAGTTGAAACCTGTTGATACATTCATTTCAGTGAAATTGGAAATATGGAAATGTTGTTTTAATACATAATATAAAGGTAACATGAATACAGAGAATGGATAGCAGACAGATTCTGTAAGGATGTCAGACAGACATAATATTGAACAGATGTCAGACCATACCCTAAGCTCAGACCATACCCTTAGCTTAGACTATACCCTAAACTCAGATCATACCCTAAACTCAGATCATACCCTAAGCTTAGACTATACCCTAAGCTTAGACTATATCCTAAACTCAGACCATACCCTAAGCTTAGACTATACCCTAAACTCAAATCATACCCTAAGCTCAGACAATACCCTAAACGCAGATCATACCCTAAGCTCAGATCATATCCTAAACTCAGATCATATCCTAAGCTTAGACTATACCCTAAACTCAGACCATACCCTAAACTCAGATCATACCATAAACTTAGACTATACCCTAAACTCAGATCATACCCTAAACTCAGATCATACCCTAA